TTAAATTTATTCTGCAGAAAATATAAATTTTAGGATGTACATAATCTAGTAGGTGCTATATTTAGATTTACACTCTTTTGATATGTTTAAAACAGACATCTACTCACTAATTAATTATTTACAATTTAGCTCACCTGAGTCTAAGGCTCAAGTGAATTTTTCTGATCAAAGAGTGTCTGGCATCTGTCTGTCATGTATAAATGTTGTGTGTCATATCTAAATTTTCAACTTTTCAATTTTTTTTTCCAGAAATCAACCCAATTTATCACAAGGCAGTATTGGGTGGAGAGGATTTAAATTCATTCAAATGAAGGGCCAAGGGGAGATAATTAAGAAAAAGTTAAAGTTTGGTGGTGTCATTTGAAAATCTTCTACTCAAGAACCACTATGCAGAAAAGTTGAAACTTCTGTGAAAGTTCCCTGACATAGTGTAGCTTCATATTCAATTAACACCCCCTTTGAGAGAATGGAGCCAAAATATGGGATTAAAAATCTGCACGGGAATATACTACTAACTAGAAGTTTGTCCATAGGACATGAATCCCCACCCAGAGTATATTAGTAATGCAACATGAAAATTTGTGTATGAAGTTTGACGATGATATCTTTAATAGTTTTTTGTTTGTTTGTTTTTTGTTTTGTTTTTGTTTTGTTTTGTTTTTTTTTTTGTAAAACTTAGTTTTATAAACATATACAATAAAAGTAAAGAAAAGGTCATTGGGACAGTCAAGGTAAAAAAAAATGGAACAAAATTGATGAATTTTCAACAAATTGTGTACCAGAGCTTACATAAAAGTATCTGGAATAGTTTTGTTGAAAGTGAGTTATGTGCTTATATAAGAAAAAAAGTGATATCAAGGTCAAAGGGAAAGTCATGGTCAACAATTGTTGTTGCAGTTCAAAAACACTCTTCAAAATGTTTCAGTGTATAAAGTTTGATAAAAATATCATGATTATTTCTTTAAAACTGAGCTTAACACAAATTTGAAAAAAAGTCAAGATTAGAAATGTTCATGCAACTGAATAGCCCTTATCAATATGTATAAGCATATGAAGATTAATCAAAATCTCTTGAATAGTTTCTTTGAAACTGAGCTACTCACTTATTTAAGGAAGGTGAAGTCAAGGTTAAAGGAAAGGTCAAGTAAAATAATGATTATGACATTGAATAGATCCTATCAATATGTATCAGCACATATATAAGGTTTGAAAAAATATCTTAAATAGCTCTTGAAACTGAACTAAAGAAAAATTTAGGAAAAGTGAGGTCAAGGTCAAAAAATGTTCATGCTGTTGAGTAGCTCTCGTTAATAATTTATATGTATCAGCATATGAAGTTCAAAGTGTGATGGAAGGACAGCAGGACATGTTATTGGGGTTAAAATTAATTTAATTATAAACAGTTAGGCTAAGGTGAGGCCACAATATTGGGTCATTTTTCATTGGGAGAAAAAGGGAGATTTTTAAAAAAATTCTTCAGAACCAGAACACTACATGTGCAGGACCAAGGTGACTAAGGTGAGCACTGTGGCCCATGGGCCTCTTGTAATGTGTTATTTACTTCATCAACAATCAGGTGAAATATTAAATTTGTTATATTTCAGTACTTCCTATTGATGACATCTTAACCAACTTTGAAAAAAGTTTTGTTTGAAAGAAGAGGATCTGAGAAGGAGAAAGATCTGTTTAGATTCAGATGGATTAATAGACTGTCAGACCTTTTGCCATCACTTAATTCTGTACTATTAGTTCTGTAACACTGAGCCTATAAGCTTTTGACATGATGGTTTATCTAATTTGAGAGAGCAGAGTCCATGATATCAGTCTTTAAGCATTTCAAGATTTACAGAATATGTACAGATATAATAGCAGATAAAAATCCCACACAAAGAACACACTGATATAAAGTTAATGGAATTTAGAGATATTTCATTTCTCTCTTGTGTGGATTGATTTAAGAAAAAAAAAAGTTTATGCCAGAAAAATATAATAAATTAATTACTTGAGTCTTGTTTTGTGCTTATATTTCTAGGTCACCAAAGTCAATCAGGTGTCCTATTGCTATCTGTTTTCGTCCGTCGTTATGCGGTGTGCGTCGTGCATTGTGTGTTAACATTTGAACATTTTTTAGCTTCTTCTCTGAAACCGCTTAACCAATTCCAACCAAATTTGGCATATAGCATCTATGGGTGAAGGGGAAAAAAAATTGTGAATTTCATGGTTCTTTCATGGTCCCTGCCCCCATGGGGCCTGAGGGGTGGGGCTAAAACCACCAAAATTAATGCAATCTTTAAAAATATTCTTCTTTACTCCTGGACATCAAGCAGTCAAACTGTTGGCACGATTTTAATAAGCATTGAGCTCTCTACCAAAATTGTGAAATTCATGGCCCCAGGGGCAGGGGTTCTGGTGCTAGATCTTCTTCTCTGCTCCTGGGTATTAAATAAACTAACTTAGTACATAGTTATGATGAGCAAGAGTGCCTCTTTCAAAATTTTGAATTTCATGGCCCCTGGGTCAGGGGTTCTGGTGTTAGGGTGGGGCTCTATTGATTATATAGTAAAATTGCATTAATTCTTTGAAAATCTTCTTTTCTGTTCCTGGATATTAAATAAACTAAGTACAAAGTTATGATGAGCATGGCTGCCTCCTCAGAAATTATGAATTTCATGGTCCCTGGGTCAGGGTTCTGGTGTTAGGGTGGGACTGTATTGATTATGTAGGGAAAAGGCATAAATTCTTTCAAAATCTTCTATGCTCCTGGGTATTTTTTCAAACAAAGGAAGTGCATGGTTATGATAAGGAAGAATGCCTCTTCCAGAATTGTGAATTTCATGGCCCTTGGGTCAGGGGTTCTGGTGATGGGGGGGGGGGGGCTTATTGATTATATAGTAAAATGCATAATTTTTTTCAAAATATTTTTGCTACTACTGGTTATAAAGTAAAGAAACAAGTGTATAGTTATGATGAGCAAGGGTGCTTCTTCCAGAATTGTGAGTTCATGGCCAATGGGTCAGATGTTCTGGTGTAAAGATGGGGCTTTATTTATTTAATAATATAGTGAAAATGCATTTCTTTGAAAATCTTCTATGCTTCTGGGGATGTTCAAGGCAAACAGAGTAAAAGTTTTAATATGCAAGGGTATTTTTACCAGAATTTTGAAGACCTTGACCGTTTAGTCAAGTGTTCTGGTCATGGTCAGGGCTCGATTAACTTGTATTCTGCTGAGCAAAATTATTCCCCTTCGCCATTCACTTTTGATAATTAATCAACGTAAAAAATGTATTTGAAAGCTTAATAGAATAAGAGAATTATGCAAGAATATTTATTGCATAATACAAAAAGTACTTTCATAGTTTTAATGACTTGGAAATAATGGATGAATAAAAATAAGGCAAAAATAACATCTTTTTAAATGTTCTTTAAAGGCCAAGAGAGGCCAATATGGGGTTAAAAAAATAGACATTTTGTTAATAGTCTGCATGATCATAGTGATAAATGGGGGGGGGGGGGGGCAGATAGATACTAGACCAATTATTTTGTTGATGCTAATCATACTATTTTTCTTGCTTTTGGGCAACAAAGCTTCATTTATCAGTTTATGGATCCTCTAAATTGTTGTATTGTACTCAGGTGATCGTTAAGGCCCTTGGGCCTCTTGTTTGGAAATCTACCTACATGGAAGTTTTTTCATTACTAGATTTGAGTGTGAATTCCTTCTCTATGGAGGTACTGCATAACTTTCATTTTTATATTAAAATGTGTACATATAACATGTATAATTTATGGATTATCAGACATATAAACAGGATTTTGCATATAGTCATATAAGATCTAATTTCATGTAACTTTAAGGAATTTTAACTCTGTTTTCAGATATTGATGTGGAAAAAAAATTGCACAGATTTTCCTAATTTTTACCTTCTTTTACTTTAAACCAATATTATGGCCAAAATTTGGTTAAGGTACAATGTGAACAAATCTGCATAATATAGTAGACCTTTTGCATTAGTATTTTTTACACCTATAATCAAAGATTAAGGGGCATATACATGTAGTTTATGCCTTGTTTTTCTGTCCGTTTGTTCTCAAAAAACTTAAACATTGTCAATAATGTTTGATTGGTTGGAGCTATGGCTTTCGTATTTCATGTGTATTCCTTGTGACAAGACCTTTCTTTCGGTAAACATTATATAAGTATATTATAGTATATCTTAAAGGTGACATATGGGTCCATCGTGCCAGATCAAGATGTTTGTAAATTGTGATATAATTGTAAGTGATTATCTATTTTGTTAAACACATGTCACTATAATAAATAAACACTACTACTTTTATTTGATCTCTTGGAGTTTGACCCACTTTTGCAAAATTTTACCAAATTTTTACCTTAGCTTGGCCATAACTTCTGAACAGTCGCTGTTGGTGTTAGTGCTTTCATATTTCACATGTATTTCTTGTTACAAGACCTTCCCTTAGACACCATTATTTTGACCTTTATAATTGACTTACTTTTGAAAAAAAACTTTAACCTTCACCATAACTTTTCAACGGTTAGTGCTAGGACTCTCAAATTTTACAGGCATATTCCTTGAGACAAGACCTGCTTTTAGGTAACAACATTTTTGATACCTTGACTTGGACTTTAACTTGCATTTGAGAAACTTTGACCTTCACCATAAGCTGCTATTAGGGGCATCATTGTTTCACAAACAAATCTTGTTTTTTTATTCATTTATGGCTAAGTGGAAATTTTGATTTTCTAAGATCTCTCCTTTATTTTCATTAATGTAGACCTGAATCATGTTCAAAATATAGGAGCTCCTATATAGGCCATATAGTAGCTCCCATATTTTGAACATGTATTTTCAATGTTGGTGAACAGTATTTGGGTCAATGATTATAACATGTATATGACAGAACTCCAGGAAGTCAATCCGGCTTTTCCAACATGCCTTCCTGTGCATGTTTGTCATTCAAATCCAAGACAACACCATAAAAAAATCATCACAATTTATTATCCATTTTCATATAATTTTAGTACATTCCATCTCCCACCCCGCCCTGAGTGGCAATTTTTGGTCTTGATTTTTCGACAATGAGTAAATATTACAATATAATAATGTACCTCTTGTCACCAAATGGGTAGGTTAATAACACATCATTACCAGATAACTTTAAATAAAATAAATGTGCAAATTACTTTCAGGAAAATGGCAAAGAAACTATTTGCAAAATATTCAAATAGCAAATGCCTCGATTATTTTGGTATACATATATACAACTTTAACAAGAGGCCCAGGGGCCACCTCGCTCACCTGAGTACTGTGGCTAGGAAAAAAGCAAAAATCAGTTTAGTATGTAAAAGCTTAAATGCACAAGTGGTTCCGACCTACCCCTAAAAAGGGGGAGTATGATTTGAACAAAATTGAATCTACACTACATGTAACTAAGGATGCTTACATATTTTCTTCGACTGTGACCTTTTTTTCCTAAAAGTTTGAACATTCATTGTGGCCCCACCCTACACCCAGGGGGTCATGATTTGAACAAACTTGAATCTACACTACCTGACAATGATTCCATGTGAGTTTCATCTTTCCTGGATCATTGGTTCAAGAGAAGAAGATTTTTTAATGGTGCCATTAAATTTTCGCTATTTTGTAATTATTAAAGTTTACAATGACAACGAGAGAAAACGGACAAATTTTGATCAGAAAAGCTCACTTGAGCCTTCGGCTCAGGTGAGCTAATAAATTCAATCAATATAAATGCAGAAATTCAAGTTTTTTTTTAAAACATGCAGATCCTAGTTCATCAGCGGCAAACTGAGACATGGCTGTGACATTTTAAATGGAGTATCAAATGGACATATTTCAAATAGAAATTTATCAAAAATGCATCACTTCAAATGGAGTGTCAAATGATGTCAAAAGGACAAATTTCATGTATAAATTAATCAGGAACAACACATGCATTCTTTCATCAAGAATTCTCTGAAATTCGCCAAGACTCTTCTTTCTTCAAAGTTATTCACATTGCAATTTTTTTGTCCAGACCAGCACACTCTTCTATCGAGATTTCTCTGATTTTTATCAAGGCTGTGTTATCTTCCCATTGCAAGATTTTTGTCCATAGGTCTTAAACTTATGACGTGCTCAAAGTCTATCAGGGTGAAGTTAAGACTCCAACATCAAATTTATGGTTCCTGAACCCTGAAAAATAACATTCAAAACACAATTAGAGTTTTTATAATTATCATGCATAATCAAGGGGACTGGGTAGGATGGAGAATTTTTTTCATGATAAGCATGACAAGTGGAAGGCTTTCAATGTGACAGCAAATTGGGTATTCCTTGTGTGAACAGAACTGGCATTTCTTACATGATTAAAAAAAATTGTCCATTTGCAAGAGTTATTTCCCTTTATGGAAAAAAACCCTCCCCATTGTTCTCACTATATCCTTTGTAACTTGCCTGTAAATTTTTTAAAAATCTTTAAACTCCTTTTGACAATTTTATACCGTATCTTTATTGGCAAAGTATGGCCAAAAAAAAAAACAAATCATAATGAACATACACTACGCTATTTTGCATAGAAATGACTATGCTCAAATAAAAATCCCATGGGCCACACTGCTCACTTGAGCTCTTTGGCGTTCAGTATTGAAAAGTTAAAATTCATACTGGGTCGAACTAATCCTAAGGGGAGGGGAAGCAGGCATGATTTGAACAAACCTAAATCTACACTAACTGACGATGTTTTCTATTTCTTTGACTAAGGCCTAGATAAATAAATTGTGTGTTTCCGGTTCCCCAACCAACCCTAAAATATATGAGCCGACCCTGAAAAATTTATCCGCCGATATCTTTCCGGAAGTAAACAATTCCATTTTCACTATTAGAAATCCAAATCTCGATCACTGCGGTGTTTGGGAAAATGCATATCCTATACACATTAAACAGAAATGCCATTAGTAAGCCAACCTTTTGGGAAAAAGAAATGAACTCTCTGTTTTTCTCATTTTGTTTATTGTGAAAGTTGAATTTTAACTAATAAAATGTTAAAATAAAATAAAATGTTTTGCCTATCTACTTATTTTTTCTCGGGTTGGAATATGAAACATACTATTTATTTATCTTGGCCTAATCATGGCCTTAGAAGATTTTTAATTATCTTTCCTTTGTATTCTTGTGTAAAACTTTGATTGTCCATTGTGGCCCCTGCTAACCGCGGGGGTCATGATTTAAACAAATATGAATCTACACTACCTGAGGATTGTTCCACACGTTTTTCTTTCCTGGCCCAGTGGTTCTTGAGAAGAAGACATTCAAATGACACTCACTAAACTTTAACTTTTTCTTAATTATCTCCCCTTGGCCCTTCATTTGAATGAAATTAAATTCTCTCCACCCAATATTACCTTGTGATAAATTGGGTTGATTTCTGGACAAAAACTTTGAAAAGTTGAAAATTTACGGATGACACACAACATTTATGTATGATAGACAGATGCCCGACACTCTTTGATCAGAAAAATTCACTTGAGCCTTAGACTCAGGTGAGCTAAATTGTAAATAATTAATTATTAAGTAGATGTCTGTTTTAAACATATCAAAAGAGTGTAAATCTAAATATAGCACCTACTAGATTATGTACATCCTAAAATTTATATTTTCTGCAGATTAAATTTAAAAAAATCTCAATGTAAAAATTTGCAAGTACCCATTACATTTTCTTACCCTCCCCCCTCCCCCCGGGTATATCTGCCTATGTAATAAATAAATAATTTTTTAATTCTTTGTAGCCATTATTGTCCTTTTTACCTCTGTGTTATCCATAATTCTTTGAGTGGAAAATCTTTTTCTTTCTTTATAACACTGATTTCTTTCTTTAAAACCTGCCTCTAAAAATCAAGACTCTTTGTTGCTCCTAAAATTAAATGTGCAAATAATTAAAAAAGTAAAGCATAATTTCTTTTTCTCATGGTGACTGATGATTGAACAAAAAATGTAGAATTTCTTATATTTAGAATTTGTCAATTGACTCTTTTAATGGCAGTGGCTGGAAAAACAGAAGTGAATTTTTTTTGTTCAAAAGGTCATTGAACAGTGTCTTTGGCATGATTAGAACAAATTTGAAACTACACTATCTGAGGATGCTTCCATATTTCTTTCACTAATCATGGCTTTAGAAGATTTTTATAGATTTTTTCCCCTATAAGTGGGTAATTTCCTTGACGCCCCACTCTACCCCCCAGGAGTAATGATTTGAACAAATCTGAATCTAGACTACCTATTAAGGATGCTTCCATATAAATATCAACAATCATTGCTTTGCTGATCTTGAGAAGAAAATTTTTTAAAGATTTTTCCTATGTATTCTTTTGTAAAACTTTGATCATCCATTGTTGCCCCACCCTAACCCCTGGGGTCATGATTTAAACAAATTTGAATCTACACTACCTGAAGGTCTTTCCACACAGGTTTCATCTTTCCTGGCCCAGTGGTTCTTGAGAAGATTTTTGAAAGATGCCATTAATTTTTCACAAATTTGTAATTACATGTACCTCCCTTTAGAAAAAGGCATGGCCCTTCATTTGAACAAATTGATTCCCCTTTACCCACGGATACTTTATGGCAAGTTTGGTTGAAATTGGCCCAGTAGCTCTTGAAAAGAAGTCGAAAATGTGAAAAGTTTACGGACAGACAAAATGTGATCAGAAAAGCTCACTTGAGACTTTGGCTCAGGTGAGCTAAAACCAAATCCAACACACGAGTGTTGCCTGATTGTGTTTAGTGATTTGTGCAGTTAACTGGTAGTTAATTGAACACATCGGGTAAAATGTAAAAATTAACAATAACATAGCTCTTGCTCATGTTAACAAACATAGGCTCATGTTAACAAACATAGGGTCGCCTGTGTGGTGCAGTGGTTAAAACATTTGCTTTAGAGTCACGGAGTAAGGCCAGGAGTTGATCCTTGTCGCGGGTTCGAATCCCATTGCGGGAGGTGGAGACCGGTCTTTCTGAATAGACTTATAAACCTGTGTTGCAGTAGGTGCTGGCACGAAAAAGATCCCTCACTGCTCAATGACCCTGAGTGCAGAGTATAGGTCCATATGAGTGAAAAATTCTCGAGAGGGACATTAAACAACAGACAACAAAGACACAAACATAGGTGTTTGGTGCCATATTAAGAGAAATGTTTTGGTCCAATCATACATAACTACATAAAATCAGCAAATCCAGACAAGTCATCAATAGTCAGACTTTCAACTGACAGTAAGACTCAGTGTAAATGATTTACTGCAGAGAAAATTCAAGCTAAAACTGTAAAATACGAGCATATACTGTTGGTAAAGATATATCTGTTAGTAAAGATATATCATATAATTTATCGCCACTTTATCTACATATGGAACATAAAATCACCATGCAATCTCCATCCCCTATACAAAGGTATAGAGATAATTCGAACTAGTTTCTTCGGAAGCCGTAGTTCAATTACAATATGCTGACAGCTGATTTCTGAGACATTTCCTTTCTTGAATGAATGTAAATCACTTACTTGTACATTAATATCACAAAATCATCTTTACTTACCGGCATACCGCCTGACTTTCACTGGCACTGCCGCACTGTTGATACTAGCACATGGCCTTGAGTCACGTGATTATCTTCGGCAGACAAACGTTTCCTTTTTCAAGCGTCCAAATAATAATCTTACCTTCTCAAAATTGGTGAACGATTATAATTGTGCTGTGCATCAGAATCATACAAACGTTTGATTTTGTCAAGCGTCTAAATAATAATGTTGCATCTTTTCTGGTCGAGATTATTATTGTTGAACATTATAATTATTGTATGATCGATGTGGAATATAATTGTTATAATTTTGAGGCGAAATAAAAATAATGTGTACACATGGACAGACAAGATTATAATTATTAAGAAAGAATAATTATTATAATTTTGAGGCGAAATAAAAATAATGTGTGCAGACATCGACTGACAAGATTATAATTTGGAGGTGTATAAAAATAATGTCTCCGTACTAACTGAAAAGATTATAATTGTAAAGTGAGAATAATTATTATAATGTTGGGGCAGAATAAAAATAATGTGTACACGTTTGGCAGACAAGATTATAATTGTTGCAGGAAAATAATAATGTTGTAAAGAAAAACCAAGATTTTTATTTTTGTATGAGATAATTATTTTTGGTATACTTATATAGGAAAAAATAATAATAATGTGGGGGTACCCTACGGCTTTCCATAGTGAACGATTATAATTGTGCTGTGCATCAGAATCATACAAACGTTTGATTTTGTCAAGCGTCTAAATAATAATGTTGCATCTTTTCTGGTCGAGATTATTATTGTTGAACATTATGATTATTGTATGATCGATGTGGAATATAATTGTTATAATTTTGAGGCGAAATAAAAATAATGTGTACACATGGACAGACAAGATTATAATTATTAAGTAAGAATAATTATTATAATTTTGAGGCGAAATAAAAATAATGTGTGTAGACATCGACTGACAAGATTATAATTTGGAGGCGAAACATTATAATGTGTCTACTTTGACTGGCAAGATTATAATTGTGAGGTGTGAATAATTATAATTTTAGGACAAAATAAAAATAATGTGTACACGTTTGACAGACAAGATTATAATTGTTGCAGGAAAAATAATAATGTTGTCAAAAAAGCAAGATTTTTATTTTTGGAAGAGATAATTATTTTTGGTATAATTATATAGGAAAAAATAATAATAATGTGGGGGTACCCTACGGCTTTCCATAGATATATATATTCTTGCGCAAATTGTTTACGAGGAAATTCTGACGATCACATTAACAGCGATGAACATGCAGTCTGTGTCGGAGTTTTCAGTGATAAATGTAGCGAGTGACGAAAGAGTTCACGGTGACTTTTTAATATGTGATTGGCGTGGACCTTGGAAATGAAGGTTAGAATTTTTCTTATCTATAATTTAACAGCTGCTTACAGCACTGATGTTTACATGTATATGCCAGCAAATGTATAAATGTACGCACAAACACTGATGTATGTTATCTATTTTATGGTTCAGACTCTGTCTGTTAGCCCTGACATGACATTGTCAAATCCCCATTGCTTTACCTTATATTTAAATACATGTGAGCATGTAATTTCACCAAGACTTATTTTTTTGATCGAAACAAAAAATTGCAGAAATTCATCAATACACTATCTAACATACTACATGTATAAACATGATAGTTATTGTTATATATTCTTCAACAAGTATGAATGGCTGTGAGAACTAGGGCTTTAATTAATATTATAATTTGTTATACCTTTAAAAATTTGTTCCTATATAAATCTATACCAGCTGTATACTTAAAATGTCTAACATTTCCAATGTTTTAATGAGCAGTCATAAAATCTATGTTGAACCGCGAAGTGAGATATTGAACCTGTCGATGAGCTCAATGGACCGCTAACATCACACAATGGGCGGGATTAGTTAAATCTCATTTCTCATTTGTATTCGTTGGTGTTCGACAGTTACGGAATTGACCGAGTTTTACCTCAGTGCTGGTAAAGGAAATTTACATCACAGAAGCCAGCACAAAATACATGTATGTCAAACAAAAAAATAAAATAAAAGGTATAACGAAACATTTATTGACTGTGTTCTCGCAGGGCTTTCAGTTCTGTATAACTGGTGCCGTTGAACGGCCCCATTCCCAATGCAAAATAGGTACCTTTTTCCCCAAAAGAAAGGTGTAAATTTCCCAATTTTCTATAACAAAATATTTTTTGAAAAATCAATCGACGAAACTTAATCACCAAAAACAAACACAAGTGAAAGTGAAACTAAGTGGCAGGGGATAGTTTGTACTAAAGACCCGGTCAAATTTCTTTAAAAACTGAGATACCCCCTGTTTGATGTGATATTTTATGTAGAAAAATTATTAGAATAATTATGGGACACATTTGCAGTGTAGCAGAGTGCTTGCTGAAAAAAATGATGTGCAACATGTAGGTGTCACTATGACGCTTATCATATACAGAGTTGTAAATGCGAAACTAAGACACGTGGTCAGTTGCAGAGGAAATTCAGCTGAAAAGCAGTAGGCCTTAGAAGAAGGTGTGTATCTCAGTACAAAGATGAATGGCCCCGTATCAATTGGTGAATTTTCATTACAGCATGCATTGATTTACAGACTACTGGGTGTTTTATCCTGCTTGCTCGGGCCTGGGGGTGGGTTGTATGGATGCGACTGAGGCCCAAATCTTGGAAAAACAAGCCAAAATGTGGGGAGTTCCCAGGTGCATTTTTGGTACATGTGCACTCTAATAGGCAGATAACATGTAATTTGTGGACATAATTTGTGAGCCATGGGCATGTGAAGTGTAAATAATTAGCCCCTGGAAAACTGTCCCCATGTACATGTTTTTTTATGGATCGCAATCATATGTGTACCCCCTCGACACATGTTTGGCATTACAAAAACTATCCTCTGCCCCCTAGTTCTATGTACTACTGTATTAGTTCATGCCACATATATTCGTAAACTGGTTCGGGGAACCAGGTAATTGTTATTAGGGATTTAGGAAACAATGAGCCATTAATGCAGAGTATTACGTCAAGAAAATTGACAAGAAAACATTATCTAGGTGCCAAAATATAGACATTTTATTTAAACAACAATAAGCTTCACCTAGCACCACGCCCACCAGTCAGTCTCACACTGAATCTGAAAACCACAATGACCATGTGATCGAGGAAATTCTGGAGGATGTGACTAGCGAATGTCAATCAGAAAGACAAATAACCGCAGTTTCAACACTCAAAGTTAGAAATGAGCAAAGCCAATGTACTTCCAAAAGTAGACTACCCATGTTTGTTCTGTTTAACAGTTTATTCAAAACCAGAATTAAATTGATGATGAAATACCAGAAAAGCAAAATTTGGTAAGTTTTTTTCATAAATGTTGGTTTTCCCAACTTTCCCAAAAATGATGGTAATTTTCCCAATTTGAACGGCCCCTGCCCCTGTCCCAAAAAGTGGTGTGAGAGCCCTGTCTTGGGGTAAAATGCAATTTGTTGACCCCTTAATTGAATCAAACTGTTTTCCTTCGGCCTAATGGCCTCAGGCAAACAGATTGGTTCTTGGGTTCGACAAAACACATGTTGCCCTCGAACCCAGTTAATAAATGTATATTATTATTGGAAAATCTAAAAATGTCACTCAGTTAATTTGCAAAAGAAATTTGGAAATATTTTTATGCATAAAAGTTTGATTTATTTCTGTGATAAGACTGCAGGATTGGTTTGTGTTTTGTTTATTGCCCCTTCAAATTTTTTTTAGTCATATTATTATGCCACCACTTGCTGGTGGAGGCCTGCAAATGCAGACCTGTACTTGACACTTATGGCCTTTGGGAAATGAGGGATCTTTTTCGTGCCAGCACTTCCTGTGACACAGAACCTCGGTTTATACGGTTTCATCCGAGGAACCTATCTCCACATCCAGCTGTGGGATTTGAACCTGCGACGTAAAAATCAGCTTCTTACTGACACTTTGATTGATTGTATGTTGTTTTACATCTTACTTGAGAATTTTTCACTCATATAGAGACATTACCACATACTGGTGAAGGGCTTCAAATATAGACCTAAATACTTGGCAGTCAGGCGATTGAGCAGTGAGGGTTCTTTATTGTCACAACATCTACTGTGATGTTTTTAAGGTCTCATCTGAAAAACCTTTGACTTTTACTTCTAATGCTGGGTGTTTGGTGAAGGAACCTTCACTACCTAAGTACCTATATGTTTATGTCTTAGGTTTGACGCAGCGAATGAGAATCAAGCCCAAGCCTCCTGATTACAAAATGAATGCCCTACAACTAGGCTACCACTACAGATAATGAACTAGATTATATACCATGTAAAACATTGTTTAGTAAAAAATTAGTTCTTGAAATTAGAAAATAGAATTTTTTATGACTGGGGTATGTAAACTAAGAGTGGTATTTGGGTTATACAGTAAAAACTGCGAACAGACTTATAATGAATTGAAGCGAATAGTGAACTGATTTTCATTCCCAGTGGTTTTAAAACATACTGAAAACTAAACTGAAAAATAAATACATTTATAATGAATCAAAATTATTCGTCCCTGGCACTTATAAGCATGTTTTACTGTAATGACAAAATAATGGGGATTTGTTTTCACCGTGGCTGTATATTATGAATAATTTAACTAGTCGATTGCAACTTTTCAGTTTTAAACTAATCTTGTTCAAGCAGATGCTTGTCTGTCTCCATAAACTCCAACGAGCAGGAGTTTATGGAGACAGTCGAGCATCTACTTGAATGAGACTAGTTTTAAACATGCTATCTACATGATCTAAGTGGTATTTGTTTAAAAAAAATATGTATACTGGTATATTATTTAAAAAGTACATATTATACAAAAAATACCGACTAACCGGTTATGAAAATCATAACCTGTCAACCCATACTAAACCGGTTACTATATTTCTGACTGATTAGATGGTAACCCAGTTGACCATTGCCATCCCTAATAAATTTTTTACATGTACAAGTAATGTGCATTTCCTTTATGTGAAATCATGAAAAAAAAACTCCTAATTAATCCCTATATATTATTTTATTACATCCTCAAAATTGACTGCATGTGAACATCTATTAAATAGAGTACTTTTTACAAATAATACATGGAAAATGTGACAGTATCTTTGAACTCTGTTTGATGGTTTCATTAGGGATGTCAATGAATATTCGAGTACTCTACTTTCATTTTATCAT